CGGGAGCTCCGCCTAAAGCTCCGATGGGAAAGCTCGCATGGCACCGCCGCCCCAAGTCGGCACACCCTTCACACGTTTCGTGGCCCCAAAGGGAGCTCCGCGGAAAGCCCCAATGGCGACGTTCGCATGCGTCCTCTCGACTCATGCGGGCACTCCCTTCGCACGTTTCGTGGCAGAAGGCTATACCGCTTGCGCTACTCACAGTTTGCGCGTTCCCCTCCTTCCTCTCATCTCCCTTGAAGTACTGCCAACTGCACATGGTTGGTCCTTCGTCAGGCTATGTTTTCTCCTAGCAGCGCTTGCACTGAACCAGGGGTTTTTACTTCGCATCTAAGGAACTGGTCCCGTGCGTGGCCCCTGCGACCCCGTTCCCGACCGTCGGCGGCGCCACGTTGTGCTCTCCTCGCTTCATTGCAATCGCATTGTCTCGCAATCGCATGGCATGGCATGGCATGGTATTGCTTTGCATCGGCTTGCGCTGCATTGCGTTACTTTGTAGAAACCTTTGCATCGCATTGCGTTGGTTTGCTTTGCATTGCTTTGCGCCACATAGATTGCGCCACATTGGTTTTCCTTTCTAAAACAAAAAACGGACTCTATCCCCTCGGCTTTATCGGCGCGCCCTTATGTTGCAATTTACACATGATTCTGCCCCATCGTCCATCCGACATCTGAACTCATACCATCCTAGCCAAGCAAGGTTCGACCCCCCCCGCCATCCACTGCAACAAAAGTACTATGCGCGCACACTCGTTTATCATGAGTCGTACGTTTTCAAGATTCTTTGGCAAATAAAGAGGACGCAGTGCGCACGCGCGAGTCGTCGCGCGCGCATGCCGAAATCAATCAAATTCCTTAGGTTTCGGACGGATTTCAAAATCGAGTGTCCCAAGAAAGTATAAAAAAACACATGGCTTCGCAACGCGGGTTTTCACAAACATTTGCGTGTGCGCTCTTGCGAATTCTTGAAAAGACCGCAAAGTTTCTCACCATTTTCAGACAATGCTACCACACGGGCTTCGCGCGCGCATTTCGAACGAACGCCTTTGCGCGCGTGCCGTCGCGAAAGCCATTTGCAAAAACCTGGACGAAGGCCACGCGCGCGTCGTCGCGCGCGCATGCCACAATTCTTCAAAAACTCCCGGTTTCGTAGATATTTCAAAAACCGAATGTCAAACAAACATTCAACAACATGTGGTTTCACAACATGAGTTTTCAATAAAACCTTGCGCGCGCTCTGGCGATTTCTCAAGAACACCGTAGATTTTTCCAACATGTTCATGGACTTTTGCCAAACGGACCTCTGGCGCCGCATGCCGACATCATTCGCACGCCCTTGCGCGCGTGCTGGGGGGGCACGATCCGTGTCAAATAGAACCATGCGGGCCACTCTCGCGCGTCGGCCGCGCGCGCATGTCGAACTCTTTCCAAAACCTTCATCGCCGATGCGAAGACGCCGTCCTCGTCGTCGGCGTGATCAGCATCGGCGCCCGCACTGGTCGCCCCTTCGTCGGTGCGAACATCGTCACCAACATCGCCACTGTCATCACCGTGTCTACCGTGGTCGGCGTTGCCATGATACCGCGCCCGCCCAAGTTGCCGACACGCAGTGGTGCAGTTTCCGCTGGGATGCGCCCGGCCACCGCGGCCGCGTCGGTGGCGCCAAACTAGCTGGCCGCTGCGCGCGCGTGCTAGGGTTGCCGAAAATGATTCGGGACACATGCTAAGTGATCCTCGAGAAATGAAGAGCGACCTGTCTCAGTGTGTATTAATGTTAAGTCGGGCCTGTCTCCCTACAGGGGGGTTTTGGACGAAAAATGAAAATAGTAAAACAATGCCCTAGAACATTCGAACATGGTCAAAACCATGCCCTAGAACATTCGAACATGAATATTCCTCCTGTAGGGACAAGCCCGACTTAAGTGTTTTAGGGAGGGTCTCTTGTTCAGGAGCTCCTCCTGGGGCCTCCAGAGACCCCCTTCCAGGAAGAGGTGGATCAGGAGAAGATAAACCGGCTGGGGAGAGACACCGACCCAGACATCCTCCTCCTCCTCCTCCTCCTCCTCCTCCTCCTCCTCCTCCTCCTCCTCCTCCTCCTCCCGAGCCGAGCCCTCGCTCGGACCGACCTCTTCTCCAGGGCCAACTGTTGCTGAAGGTGCAGGTGCCTCCTGGTCCAAGGTGTCCCCAACTTTTCGCCCAGGTCGGGAGCCCGGGGTGCCCCCTGGGCGCGCTCTGGAGGCCGCGGGGGCCTCCTTGGAAATCCTGGGGGCACCTTGAGCCAGGGGCACTTTTCGCTGGCAACACCCGAGCTGCTCATCCTGCGCAAGTTCTCTTCCTGTCCGGGAGACAGGGCGCATCCGCGGGTGGTCGAAGCCCCACGCCCGGTTTTCCAGGTCGCAGGAGGCCTGGGGAAGAGGAGGAAGACGGGGGAGGACGGCAGGCGGGAGGGGGGGGGGCACGCTCCTCGCGGCTCTATGGGGAAGGCTGCGCTCCTTGCCTTTTTTCCCCCCCGCGCGCCCTCTGTGCGCACCAAGGGATGGGTGGTTTGCGTCGCGGACGCTGCCGGGCGGGCTCTCGCCCTCGTCCAGCGCGAGGCAACGGGGAGGTGGAGGAGACGAGACCGAGGAGGAGGGAGAAGGCAGAGGCGGATGACGATGATGACGATGATGATGATGATGATGATGATGATGATGATGATGATGATGATGATGATGATGATGCTTATGATGATGATGATGATGATGATGAGGATTATGAGGATGATGATGATGATGATGATGCTGAGGATGATGATGATGATGCTGATGATGATGACGACGATAGTGATGCGGATGCTGATAATGATGATGACGATAATGCTAATGATGATGAGGATGCTGATGATGATGATTCTGCTGCTGATGATGATTAATATGATGATAATGGTGTCTACGATGATGATACTGAAGATGATTATGGTGATGGTTATGGTTATGATGATGATGATAATGGTGATTAAGATGATGATGATGTTGATGTTGATGTTGACGATGATGATGATGATGATGATGATGATGATGATGTTGATGATGATGATGATGATGATGATGATGATGATGATGATGATGATGATGATGATGATGATGATGATGATGGCACTGATGCGGGTGATAATGCTGAAAATGAGAGAACGTGATCCCCCGCCGCTTTATTCTGGAAAATTCCCCCCCCTCTTCCTCTGGAACCTGGGGGTCGCCCCCCCCTTCGAAAATCCCCCCCCTGCTGGACTCCCCCCCCTCCCTCCTCCCCCCTTCCCCTGGCAACACCCCCCCCTAACCCCTCCCCCCCCCCCTCCGGAAAACCGGGGGGGTCACTACCTGTTCGAACCCCCCCCCCTCCAGAAAACCGGGGGGGGTCACTACCGATTCGAACACCCCCGCCCCCTCACCGCTGGCAAAAGACTCCCGGGTCCCCAC